CTACAGAGCTAACTATTTTTGTATTAAAAAAGTAATTAAACCTAAAAAGATGACGTCATTACACTTTAACTTTTAAAGAACAGTAAAAGTTGTGGAATTTTTCCACCAGAAAAAGGACGTTATTATTCCTTAAACTCTAGAATCTTCTAATTTTTAGAATCTACAGATTAAATCCTTGTATTTTATAATAAGTCATCTCACATTAACTTCTAGATTTTTCTCAATCTTCTAAAATCTAGAAATAACCACTAAAATTGATCCAATCAGAGTTCCAGAACTAACTCTAAGGTGATTAGGTCAATGAAAAAAATTTGTGGATTTTTGTTATTTTGTTAGTTTTTTGCTAGTAAAAATTAAGATACACAACCAAGGAGGTTGTAAATAATAGGAATAGATTTTATTGAATTTCTTCCCTTTTGAAAAACCTTAGTCAACGAAAATTTCCTATTCTACAAACTTCTTCATAAACAATTAATTAAATCAACCAAGTGTTGCAAAATTTTTGAAGGAGTTCAGTTTTTTAATGATAAAATCAGAAAAATTAACAGCTGAAAAATATAGATTTCATTTCATTTGAAAATCTCCTGCAGTTCAGTTCATTTTATCAACATGAGAAGAATTTTTAGAAGAAACGGAAATATATCTCAAACTTTGGAACCAATCATAATAGAACGGGCGAGTTACTGCATCCAGTTTGAAATTAGTACCGAAACTGTCAGGATTCTCAAATTTAATAAAACCTCCCAAGCTAGTGAGCAAATTATCATAGATTTTTCAGAATGGAGAGAACTCGAGAGTAGAAGAGCTAGAGAACTCAGAAAAGAATTGGCTATGTCTAAGTCAACTTCGAGAAAAAAATACGGGTTTTCATATGATTCAAATGAAAAAATTTTTGATGAACTTAGGGATCTGTGATACGGAAATAATTTTCATTTGCTTACAAGTGAACAATTACTACAAATGACTATTTAGAAAAAAAAAATAGTTGAATTTGACATCTTCTACTGAGATCCGAAGAAGTGTTTCAGTCCCTTAAGAATTACCCAACAAGATTGGCGAAAAATTGAAACTATTCGTGATAGAAGGTACAAGAAAGAAAAATTGAAGGTTCAACAGGTCAACTTAGCTCTGCTTAGAAGAAAACATGGTGTGGCACATGAAGAAGAGAGTGACAAGGATTTTTTTACACATTTTTTCAAGTTTCCCATTTAATTGTATATTGTTTTTTATATAATTTTATAATGTGTTCCTGAACCAAAGTTTAGTTTTAAAGATTTATCATTGTAAACTTTTAGGAGCACATTTGAAGACAATTGATTATTTTATCACAAAGCTTACATAATCACTATGAACAGAACCATGACAATCAATAAAGCAATCAATAATCTTCAACAAATCAGATTCATATTTTGAGTTTTGAATTTTGTGCAGAAACGCTGAACCAAGAGTTTGCGGGGAAGCCAGTTTCTTGTTGGAACATAAAAAAAGTCTCTTGAATTTTTTCCGAATTAGTCGTTTCTTTGCAATACTAGGCATCTTTTCGGCTCATTTCTATCGTAACTTATGTTGAACTGCTCGACTAAGCTGATTGATCTTTTCTTCGCTCGACGTAACAATACTTGAATAGAATCTGTGTTCGAACAAAGTGTAAAGACAGTCAATTTCTTGATATATGTATACATATTTATCTAATCTCTGAAAAATTTGGCTAAGAGATATTCCTATTAAAACCAAATGGAGCTTACAATTTTACAAAGAAAATAAAGAGTTGTGTGTAGAGACACAATAATCATGTGTTACTATGTATTTTTCGTAAAAATCACTGGAAACGGAAATAAATACCAATTTTTTACAATAATCTGAACAAAAGCTGGTAAGAGATTGGCACATAGCAGCAGCCATTAGGAAGAAAGATTTTTGCTGAGAATTGTGGCTTTATATAGGAGAAGTAACGCCTACGCGATTTCGGTATATGGAAATTCCATGCAAAACATTTCATATTTGGTATTACTTCCATATATGGAAATCCCGATGAGTCGTATTTTTTAAATCCATTTTCTTTTAATCTCAAAATCATTTCTTTCATTTCTTCTCATCTGATTAATTTTTTCTTCAGAAATTAACTCTAGAAAAGGCACTATTCCCAGTTATATTGCATTCTCAAAAAATCAAACAAAAATTGGGAGATTTGTTTAGTTCCAAAAATCCTACAATGGGAAATTTTATTTTGAGCCCTGCTTTCAACTATTAAAAATTAACGATTTGGGACAATTTGAGAAGTCCCAACAAGTCACTTTTAGTGAAAAAGAAGGTGAAGCATCATCGGCAATCCGGAATTCTGTTATTCACGATGCTGAAAACCTTGGACTCGTTCCTATATATGAAGCCAAATCTGGCAAAGAATCAACTATGGATCAGGAGCTGGATATCTGTAATAGTGTATATGAAATAGCAACATACAACTTGAGGAGGGTATGTGTCACAATCAAGAAGTACAGTGTGAACAAGCCACCCTACATTCAGATTCGACTCTTCACTGCAAAAGAGAATGAAGCAATGAAACAAGTTGCCTATGTCAACTATACTTTGAACGAATTCAAAGAACTGTTCCAAATTTTGGGAGATTTTATGATTATTGATAATTGTTACCCTCAGTAATGCTTTGTGATGTTTTGTATGTTTGTTAATTGAAACATTGTTGGTTCAAAACTATCTTTTTTCACTGAAGGGCAAGTTTAGAGATGGGATATGTGAGGAAAAGTCAGATGAAACATAAGATTTAATCAAAATTGACATAAAACACTATCCAATTTTCGATAAATTTTCCAGTATTTGTTTAAAAAATTACAGAAAAATTTATTTACTTACTGCTTTTTATCAAAAAATAAGTAAAATTTGTCTTATTCGAACAAACTTACAAACAATATGAATAGTTAGTTGTAACATTATCATTATTTTTCGACTAACTGAATTTCATTGGTTGTTTTCAATTGCCTTAAGTTGAGGTTTTGATTGGCTACATGAATTTACTCAAAACTAATCAGTCTCCAAAAAAGGGGAAAACATTTTAAGTTGATTACAAAATAAGTAAAAATGGTACAACAATTCGAGTTTTTTCAAGTTTCTTTGTTAACTTCAGTGAAAAATATGTTTCTATCAAAAGCGTTTTCAATGTCTGAAATCAACATTTATGAGATTTTAAGATTGAACTACCACAAAAAAACTCCAAGAGTGGTGGACAGAAGACGTTGATGGACATTGTATTAGTTTCAACTTGTATAAAATCACAGAAAGTTCAATAGTTTTGTTAAAAAGATGGAGAGGAGATTTCAGAAAAGAAGAGTACTGCCAAAAACTTTCAAAAAGGTTTTTATTTAGAATATTCAACTCAGATTGAGTGATCTATTAGTAAAAAACAAAACAATGGAAGAGCCTATGAAACAAAAATTGAAGACAAGGAACATTATTTTGATTACTGTTTTGAATTTGATACAAATGCAAAATCTAGATTTGTTAGATTATTTTTTAATCGACTATTCAAACTTAAAAAACTTCCGTTTGTTTATATTACAATATACTAGAAAGAAAACAATAAAAATTGATATTTTGGTAATTTCTCTTTTCACTGGTTAGAAATAGAACAAATTGAAAAAATTTTGATTGAAATTTCAAAGTTTGGATTGAGCATCGGAAAAACAATATAGAACAGACAAGAAAGCTCATTTATCTCTTTTTAGTGTCAATTATATATGTTTTATGTAAGAAAAATTAATTTAATTGAGTGATTAAGAAGTTTCATGAAAATAGTTTGGTTCTGATCTACAAAGTATTTTAAAATCTGTGAATACTTCATTCTGATTGGTTATTACCACAAATACTACCTGTGAAGAAATCTTTGATATCTACAAATGATAACAAAATTGTTAGAAAATCCATGAGAAGTAGAACTTAGTTTTGATTGGCTGACATAAAATTTATTGAAAATTCCATGACCATTGAAAGTCGATTCTGATTGGTTGATATCAGAAAAGATAAAAATTGCCTTTTAATTAATGCTCGATACTGATTGGTTGATAGCAAAACTTTTGAAAACTCCATGGTTAGACTGGATAAATTTTATTCCAGCTAGGCTAAATAATAAATAAATTCTGTTTTTTTTTCACGTTAAAAACAATTAGTTAAGAAATTTGCTTTTTTATTCAATTTTATTCATTTTTTGTGGCTGCTCAACTTTTGTTTCCTAAGAAATTTAACAGTTTAAATCTCCCATTTTTTTTCTCCTTATTGAGATGCTGTCACTGAATAGAAACAAAGGAATTGCATGTCTTGAATGTGGCAGAGAAAACACTCGCTTACACGCATCAAGACATCGAAAACACTGAGGCGTTTTAAAGTGTTCCAATTGTAACATTTACACATATAGCAGCGAGGATATTACTAATCATATCATGAAGAAACATTGTCAACGTAATGTTGAATCATGTGCTCAGCAGTCTCAAAACACAATCCAAGGGAAGGTAAATTTGATATATTTTCAATAAAAACATAGTAGAATTACTTTGAATAATAGTTTTTTTTACTGAATCTGAAAACACTATACACTAAATTTGAAAAATTTTTTGTAAAAAATTTACCGTTTTTTCATCATTATTCTTGTTTTGTCATATTCAAAGATGTTCTGATTGATGATCAAACCAGCAACAACCGAGTTCCAATTGTTTTGAAACTTTTTAATGGAAATCGATCCGAAAATCTTTCATCTACTGTAAAAACTCCATCGGTTACCAGCTTGCGGGGATTTATTTGTGATAATTTTGTAATAAAAGTGAGTCACATACGCTAATCAGTGCTTAGGTATTTGTTGAAATACTATAAAAAACTGGATATTCATAAAACATTGATTAATTGAAAGTCTTTACCTATTAACCATTTTAAAGTTTTCCTTGCTTAGTGCTTCTAAAAGTAATCATAGAGTAGTGCGTAGCAGATATTGGGGATTGATTTAATAAGAATTATGATTTTCTTTCGCTTTTTTTATTCAGAAAAGAAAATGATAACTGAACTGGAAACTGCATGTTTTGCAAACATTTGAAAATTTCAAGATAATAAGATACATCATTCTCAACCAAAAATTTAGTTCAAAATAGAAATTCAGAGTTGAAACAGCCACATACAGTTATCAGTTCAAGAAAACAATTTGAAGTTTTTTTTAAAAAGGTTCCTGGTATTAATTCTGCTTCGGATTAATGATTATTTGTTGAAATGATACCTTTTCTCCTCTAAAACTCAATTTTCAAAAAAAAATTTGTTCGAATTTGATTAAGTTGGAAGATAGAAGATGAAGCAGAAAGTGAAAAAAAATCAAATTGAGATAGAAACTCAATTTAATTCAATCAGGAGTTTAGAGATTTTTTAAAATACATTTTAGCTAAAATATTACATCTTGAGAAAAATTCAACATAAGAGTGTAACGTTTGGAAATTTTTTTATCATTTGATATACTAGGTTAACTTATATGAAGATTCATTATTTTGAAAATAATTTATTGTGAAGTAAACCTAACTCCAAAATATTTTGGAAGAAGATAGATGAAGCATAAATCAAAAATTTGCTCTCAAGATCTAAATTGCATTCTTTTGGATAAAAAAATTTGATGTAGAAAGATTTTTAGAGAGAATTTTATGAAGCCTGCTGAAAAATTTTAAACAAACTAATACTTTAGCAGAGCCAGATGTATGATTTCTTAGTTCTATGCGTTTTAACAAGAAAAAAATTCAATTAGACATACAGTAAAAATTTAGTTCTGTTTAGCGTCAATTTTTTTCAATTAGAAAATTACGTTGAATTATAGAGTTTTTGCTCAATAAATTTTGCAGAATTGTTCAACTATTTCAATGTGCACCTTAATTTCCTTTCCTTAATCGATGTTTTTGAGAACAATCTTTTAGATGTTATAATTGTTGCAGAAAAATGGAACTAAGTTCCCTTGCGTATTTCTACTTCTGAAGGTTTTGCAGATTATAAACAATAGAGCTGCTCTTCTTTTATTCTAAGGAATCAACGTAAAAGTACACCTTTATATCCCCAAATTAAACATGTGCTTTCAAATGCTTAAAATAGTACCGATGCTTTCTCACGCCGACATTTTTAAGAAAACTTTCGACAAAAATCAAGAACAAAAAGCGATTGCAAATTATTTTGCAAGAAAAGTGATAGTTAATGGTCTCAAAAATTGGGTTTTTCCTAAAATAGTTTGCTGTAGCAGCTAAGAAAAGGAAACTAAAGAAGAATATGTACAAACTAGATGGTAATAATCAGTTGTTATCAGTTCTAATTTTATCTCCGCCAACAAATTGTTCGTTGATACTATTTTCTCCTAAATTCCTCAGTTCTGACTAAATTTTCTTGCAAAGTGAGTTCAAGAGAGAAAATATGCAGTAAGCAGAAAGCAACAATAAGCTTGAGGCATAGAAAAATTCTACGCAAAAACCATGAAAATTATGTTGTAGAAGCAACAGAGAGATAATCATCAGTTTTGAAGAAGATTTTGTTGAATATCATACAATCTAAAATACTGTTGAGAGAAATACACCCAATTTTTAGTCAATTTTAGCAGTAAAATGTTCAATTTTTATCAAAAAACTGATACAATATTGAAAACGTTGCAAAAATGGTAACTTTTGCACAAGTTTGTTATATTCTTTGAGAAAAAACTGAGGAGGAGCTGGATCATGGAGTTTGATCTAGAAATTTCAATGAGTCTTGCTCATATTGTACAATTGAATTGAGATTCTTAGGTGAATTTTCCTTGAATTGAACAATAATTCAGTTAATTACACAAATGAAAGGTTAGGAATGGAAAACTTTGAATAGATTTGGTTAACTTTAACTTTCTCGAAAATTACGATTAATTACCTTAATTTCCCGAGAAATCGGAAGTATCAATATCGATTCAGCTAGTATGAGCTTTATGTGTTCAGAGCATTATATAACCCGCTTTTCAGCTAAAATTAGGGTTAATTTTTATTGTATTTCTTTATTTCGAGAGAAAACTGTGAAAAAATCTATATTTCTGTTCAACGTTTTGTATCAGTGTCTCAACATGATGCTAATTGAATTACAATTTGAGCTTAATTTTAAACTGTAAACATATCCATTTGTTTAAAATTAGATCATAAGCAACAAAAAAATAACCAAAACTTTGAGATTTTTGCAGTTGTTCCCAAAAACATGCAATTTGTTCCAAAAACTTTGAATTTTTGCAATTTTTCCCGAAATCAGAAAATTATCGTTGAAATGATACCTTTTTCCCTCTAAAACTCAATTTTAAAATAAAACTTTGTTCGAATTTGATTAAGTTGGAAGATAGAAGATGAAGCAGAAAGTGAGAAAAAATCAAATCGAGATAGAGGCTCAATTTAATTCATTTGGAGTTAAGAGATTTTTTAAAATACATTTTAGCTAAAATATTACATCTTGAGAAAAATTCAACATAAAAGTGTAACGTTTGGAAATTTTTTTATCATTTGATATACTAGGTTAACTTATATGAAGATTCATTATTTTGAAAATAATTTATTGTGAAGTAAACCTAACTCCAAAATATTTTGGAAGAAGATAGATGAAGCATAAATCAAAAATTTGCTCTCAAGATCTAAATTGCATTCTTTTGGATAAAAAAATTTGATGTAGAAAGATTTTTAGACAGAATATTATGAAGCCTGCTAATACAAACTAATACTTTAGCAGAGCCAGATGTATGATTTCTTAGTTCTATGCGTTTTAACAAGAAAAAATTCAATTAGACATACAGTAAAAATTTAGTTCTGCTTAGCTTCAACTTTTTTCCATTAGAAATTGTTGGTTTTTGGTCAATAAATTTTGTAGAATTATTCAACTATTTCAATTTGCACCTTAATTGCCTTTACTTAATCGATGTTTTTGAGAAAATTCTTTCAGATGTTATAAATGTTGCAGAAAAATGGAGGGAAAAAGTTCCCTTGCGTATTTCTACTTCTGAAGGTTTTGCAGATTATAAACAATAGAGCTGCTCTTCTTTTATTCCAAGGAATCAACGTAAAAGTACACCTTTATATTCCCAAATAAACATGTGCTTTCAAATGCTTAAAATAGTGGCGATGCTTTCTCACGTCGACATTTTTAAGAAAACTTTCGACAAAAATCAAGAACAAAAAGCGATTTGCAAACTATTTTGCAAAAAAAGTGATAGTTAATAGTCACAAAAATTGGGTTTTTGCTGAAATAGTTTGCTGTGGCAGCTAAGCAAGGGAGCCTAAAGGAGAATATGTACAAACTAGACGGTAATAAACAGGCGTTATCAGTTCCAATTTTATCTCCGCCAACAAATTGTTCGTTCAGTTGATACTATTTTCTCCTAAATTCCTCAGTTCTGACCTAATTTTCTTGCAAAGTGAGTTCAAAAGAGAAAACATGCAGAAAGCAGAAAGCAACAATAAGCTTGAAGCATAGAAAAACTTTACGCAAAAACCATGAAAATTATGTTGTAGAAGCAACAGAGAGATAATCATCAGTTTTGAAGAAGATTTTGTTGAATATCATACAATCTAAAATACTGTTGAGAGAAATAGACCCAATTTTTAGTCAATTTTAGCAGTTAAAAGTTCAATTTTTATCAAGGAACTGATACAATGTTGAAAACGTCTCAAAAATGGTAACTTTTGGACAAGTTTGTGTTATTCTTTGAGAAAAAACTGAGGAGGAGCTGGATCATGGAGTTTGATCTAGAAATTTCAATGAGTATTGATCTTATTGTACAGTTGAATTGAGATTCTTAGATGAATTCTCCTTGAATTGAACAAAAATTCAGTTAATTACACAAATGAAAAGTTAAGAATAGAAAACTTTGGATAGATTTGATTTATTTTTATTTTCTCGAAAAAAACGACTAATTACCTTATTTTCCCGAGAAATCGGAGGTATCAATATCGATTCAGCTAATATGAGCGTTATGTGTTCAGAGCTTTATATAACCCGCTTTTCAGCTAACATTAGGGTTATTTTTTATTGTATTTCATTGTTTTGAGAGAAAATTGTGAAAAAATCTATATTTCTATTCAACGTTTTGAATCAGTTTCTCAACATGATGCTAATTGAAATACAATTTGAGCTTAATTTTGAACTGTAATTATATCCATTTTTTTTAAAATTAGATCAGAAGCAACAAAAAACTAACGTAAACCTTGAGATTTCTGCAGTTGTTCCCAAAAACTTGCAATCTGTTCCAAAAACTTTGAAATTTTTGCAATTTTTTCCAAAAACTTGAAAATTTTTGAATTTTTTCCCAAAATCAGAAAATTTTGCAGTTTTTTCCAAAAATTTGACTTTGTTTGAAGTATCAATAGGTTTAGGCATAAATTCAGGTAGAAAGAAAGTAAGATTATTTGGTAAAATAGATCGAATTACAACAAACCTTATAGTGTTTTAAAATTTTTATGAAAAATTTTTCAATTTTTGTGACGAAAACTCCAAGTTTCTGCCCAAAAAATCTTACCATTGACTTACCACTTACCACAAAACTATAAAATTAACTTTAATTCTACAACTTAGATGTAACTAACCAGTAATAATTAACAAATAAATAATGAGCGCCAAAATTTCTGCGAAGAAATTAGACATTTCCACACAAACACCAAAATTTTGTTTCAAAAAACATGATTATTTCTTGAAGTTTCTTTAGGTTTCAAAATAGCTTTAGATAGTTTTCTCGTTGAATCAAACCTATACAACAATAATCAAAACATCTAAACCGTAGAAGCTAGCTAAGAAACGCAAGTATCGACATAATCGAGCTCAAAAAATTCGGGCGCCATAAATTTTTCTGAAACTTACCATCTTACCATCTGATACCTGCAATCTTAATACATTGGGAAACCTATTCCCTATCTTAATACATAGGAAATCTATTCCCTATCTTATTACATAGCTTTGAGACCGGATAATCAATTCCCTATCTTAATACATGGAGGTCT